TCTCTCTCTCTGTGTGTGTGTGTGTGTGTGTGTGTGTGTGTGTTTCCCTCCCGCAATTATTCTTTTTTTTAAAGCAACAAAAAAACCCAAAACAAACAACAACAACAAACCCTCTGCCCTCAGTCTTTTCTTTTGATTTATCTGCAGAACATTGTCTTTCGATGAAGTATGTGTGGCAATTGACAGAGGCGGGACGGTTGTGAGGGATTCATCTGAGGGTACCCCTTATTGGTATGTGAAAAACGAATAAAACAAAATTTTTTTAAGAAAAGAAAAGAAATAGAAAGAAAACCCCCAACCATTCGCGCCAAGCATTAATAACAACAACAACAACAACAACAACACAAACTTCCCCAAAGCAATTTAAAACATAATACGCATATCAAAGGTCAACTTCAACTCGAACTGCATGATTCTTTCCACTTGCAGATAGATCGTATTTTCGGCTGCCCTCCCCCGACCCCCTCCAGCCCACACCCCCATCCCCTTTTCCCTCTTTTCCTCAACCCCTAACTCATTTAAACACATACTCTCTCTCTCTCTCTCTCTCTCTCTCTCTCTCTCTCTCTCTCTCTCTCTCACACACACACACACACACACACACACAAAAACACACACACATACACACACACACACAAGCATACACACGCACAAAGGTCTCAAGTATAATAGTGTTATTATTAAGCACAATGATCAATCTTCTCAATATTAAGTACTAATACCACTAGCTGTTCAGAGCGTGATGGGTGAGAGAAAAAAAAACCCCGTGACGGTCGCACTAACACTTAAGTTTGATGTCAAGTTGAGCCCTCAAAACATGAGGCAACTTGGTGAAGTCAGGCGCTCGAGAAATAAGGAAACTAAAGGAATCGCATTGGGTATTTTTTTTTCCTTCGAATTTTCTATCTATCTGTTGGTTTTTTGGGGGGGTTTTTTGTGCCCAGTACATATTATGTTAATTTAAAAACACATGCATGTGTTAATTAATTTAACCGAAAAATGTCGATCAAGGGCACAGCAGATGCAAATTAGCAGTTTCCAAGTTATGGAAGTCACCAAAATTTGGTGGTCATTTTATATTGGAACAAGGCGACCTCCACCGCATTCAGCTGCACAATTTTATCTCGACTTCTACTCGAGATAAATGGGTAATTTTTAATCTGCAAAAATAAGAAAAAAGGTTTACGATTATACCAATAACTCCAGTTGCCCAAAATTTGACTAGCGCGTAATTCCACCACTTACTAACATACACAATATTATTATTATTATCCTGCAGTCCTCAATTGGCCCGCGGCCTCCAACGTTTGCGAGCGCGGATAAAATAATAATATGTGTGCTTTCGTTTGTATGTGTTGATGTGTGTGTATGTGTT